TCCGTTTGTAAACAAAAGGATGAGTTTAATGCTTAGAAGTTCGCTCTTTTCTATTCTCTGATTGTAAAACTTCTCACTTATGAATAGTGGATATTAGTAGGTTACTAGTATTCGACCATACGTTTCTTCGAAGCGTTATTCGTGTATTTTAAGACCACATAGTAGGAAATGCCGGGGTTAAGAATAGTCACTAAGTAAGGATAGCAGATTGATTCAAGAGGTAGTAAGTCATTATCAAATGAGGTGATTGATTTTTATATGGTGCATGTCTAGCCACTGTGTACCTCGATGAGCGATGTTGCCTAGTGTAGAACCAGGTCGGTAGAAAGTCAACGTTGGCCAAAACAAGACGCTTTATCAGTCTATAAACTCATTTATAATTAGATTGAAACATGTTGATAAGATTAGGCTAACTGGTTGGAGTTCATGTGATTATCATTAACATTGGTTAGAGACTGAATGAAATAGCTCAAAGTCGCGTGTAATGGCTCAGGTGAATCACGTGAAACATCACGTGGTCATTTTCCATTGACTGCGTCGGATAACTGTCACAAACCCTTCATCGTTGATCTTTACTAGGAACGGCTTTTCATCGGAACTCTTGAAATTACTTATCGAAGTTAGTCGCAAGTCAACATATAATCGCAATGTGGATTATTGAATTTTCATAGTTTATATCACGAAACCATTACATTTAGACAAACAACGAATACTGGAAATCACTGAATTGTAACTATATGTTGTACTCAATAATACCAGACATATTATACTGCATTAAAATAACCGCAAAGTCCTCTAATGGACTCAGTAATACAATAAACGAATTTTATGACATGAATTATGATTATAAGTATGATTACTGTATTTCAGTGAATAGATAATACATTTTCCTTTGTAGTTGTTCTAGGTTTACAAGTTGAATATAAAATGTAGTTTTCTCAAAATTATAGCAACTCATATACTATAAGTAATTGTCAATACTTGATTGTTTCATTTCGTATTTAACTACAAAATACAACGAATAATGGTTGAATTCACTTAGTATTGTTTGTTTGAATCTTCCCATCGATGTGTTTAGGACTGCAACTGGTCAGTCTCTAATTGGTATATGTGCATACTGTGCGTATTGCCTCGATATACCTTAATTCACAAGCATGGTAAGCAGAGATGGATAGTGGCTAGCAGTGGAGTCCAGGACGCGCGTTTCGTCCTATTTGGGACTCGTCAGTTGCAGTCCTAAACACATCGATGGGAAGATCCAAACAAACAATACAAAGTGAATTCAAACTTCACCCCATCGCACAAGCACGTGGCTATCAGGACTCAGTGGCCGAGTGGATAACGCGATGGCGTTTGAAGCGAGGGTACTGGGTTCGAGTCCCGAAGTGAACATCAACTCAGATGCAGGTACATCCAGCTGACGAGTCCCAAATAGGACGAGACGCGCGTCCTGGATTCCACTGCTAGCCACTATCCATCTCTGAATAATGGTTGTGTTGATGAACTTTCTAAACATAAATGAAAAAAGATAGATACTGGCTAGGAGTGGAATACAGGACGCACGTTTCGTTTTATTTTGGACTCGTCAGATGGATGTAACTATATCTGAGTTTATATTCACTCTGGGGCTCAAAAACAGAACTGTTCACTTCAAACGCCATCACGTTATTCACTTAGCTACCGAGATGCACGTCCTGGATTCCACTGCTAACCACCATCCATCTTTGCTTATAAAGTTTATAATTTAAGGCAATATTGAGGCAGACCGAACAGGACGGGTATATGTCAACAAGAGACTGATCGATTGCAGTCCTAAATAATAATGGAAAGATACAAGTAAACAACACCAAATGAGTCAATGAAAAATCTAACTAAAACCCAATCCAACAGATAATTTTAGTTTTGACATTAGTGGTCAAAGATATTGTGTGATAATTTCTTGTCTGAATTTTTACCGTTAAATTTAGTTATTTGTTGAAAATAGCCTTTTTATACAGTAATGTAAATAGTAATTCATTAGTTTTTGTAATTAGCTATACTACTCATTAGTAACAATTCAACAGTTTTTATCATTTTGGAAACTCATTGGTGCATATTATAAAGTTTACATAAATACTGTATATATCTTGATTCAACTAACTGTTATTGATTTATGTATGTAAATACTTTTGGAAAATGATACATAACTTATAAATAATTAAGGCATAAACCAAATTATAACACAGTGGTTTATCATTACAAAAGTTAGAGTTGATCGGATTTACGCTTAACGTCTAAGCATGCGATATACTAGTATACTCATTATTGAAAAGAAAAGACAGTGAGTTGCTGGTTCATCATTGTAATGGATTCGAATGTGTGTAAACAGACTTCGTCAGGGATTCAAACCCGGGAAGTACAAGCGCCCTTGCTTTTAGATTATTTATTTGGAATCTATTTGTCCAAATTTCCAAACCCAGTGTGCTATATTTTTTTTAAGACATAAATTCAAAATTAAAGGTAGCGTTTCAAGCAAAGGCAGCTGTTCATGTTTATAGTTGGTGATATGTAAAAAACTTATTTTTGTTGTTGTTTTCATAGTTAACGTAATCATAGTTATGATTGAACAGATTGGAATGTTCACAGCAGTGGCTGAATTTCATTTGGAGTAAATCATGAAGAAAAAATTTACAATAGTGAAGAAGATTTGTAGTTCAAATGAAGCCTTTTGATGAGATTCCATTTGCTGAGATGGGTGGTTTTAGAAAGAAAGCTTATACTGTCCTTCTGATAAAAGTGGGTTATTCAAAAACTCCATATATGAATAACAGCCTGTTTTGTGGACCGTAATCTTGATCGATTGTCGCTCACTTCTGCCCCATCATTCTTTTCAAGATTATTTCGAGTGCTTTCCTCTTTGATTTGATTTTTGACCACATAGTTGTTTATGATTTAATAATTAGTTAATGAAGTGAGTTGTTGTCTATAAATTGCTGATTAAGCAGAATGCTAACTCTCAAAGATTCTCTGGTTTTCTTTAAATGCCCTCTGTCTAAATCCCCATCACTTTCTCAGTAAAAGATGTCTGTTCGCTATAGCTTAGTTAACATTCTATGCAGTATCACTGATATAGTAGACATTTTATACAGAAGCCAAATCGGAATTATTTATTCATACATAAACAACCAAGTTCAGAAGTAAAGTTTATTTGTAATATCTACTTGGTCTATGAGCTTTTCTAGTTTTTTCAGTGTTGACTAACTATAGATTCCGTGCGGAGTACTTTGTTATATATGGAATTTATCACATGTGCAGGTCCTTATTTCATAGTATCAGTGTTCATAATCGAAAATCGAAGTGGTTTTCTTTTGTATTCAACGTAAAAATAGCAAATAATATTCACCATTTACAGAGATTTTTAGATAAACCTGTAGCTTTATGAATAATAATTTAATGAAGGGAGAGATAATTACTGGGAAAATATTCACCCTATATTCACGTCTGTATCTGATCGAATGGCTTCTGCAATCACTAAAACTAATGCAAGACTGTCAGCTTCATACATATTTCGATTCAGAACTTCTTATACATTACTTATTTATTTCAAACATGAACTGTCTGAATTCCGAAAGATTACAATTTCATCATTATTGATAATGAAGAAACCATTGTTTAAGAAGCTTCAACTATCAAAATGAAAATATCCGAAGTTCAAGTAAACTACTCTTCAAGTAATCGAAGTTTATTCAGTACTGAATGTGAGCTTTATTAATATAATCTACTAAATTGCTTTAGATTTAAACTAAAATATGTTATACATTCTTTGATAAACTGTTCATAATAATATCTTTGTATTCGTAATGTGGTATTTTATCAGATTTTACTGTTATTAATTAAATTACCCTGTGATCTGAGACAAATCAATGTTACTGCCATAGCTAGTAGGGATTAACACTGACTACTGTCTTATTTTCATTAGCTGGGTGAATAATCCACTGAACCTATGTCATACATTTATGTATACCGTCACTTATGTGTTTTTATTTGAAATATTTTACATATAATTTTGCTTTTGTACTGTATTACACAACAATTTTTTTCAAGGCAATTGTTCTATATTTTGATCTCCATTCAGAATGTTCTTTCCATAGACAGTTATTAGTAATCATTATTTTACCACACTATTCTTATCAATTTATTCAGTCACTGAAAGTCAAATGGTAACTAACAACAACTGTTTCGACCAAGTTTACAACATTACAGTTATGACTCCATAAAGAATTCAACGTCAGAGTTAATGGATTGAGAATGATTCAAGGTATACACCTAATGCAATCAGTGGTATTTATTTCACTCTTGACGTAGTTTAATTTTGAATGACTATTCATGTGATCAAAGTAGAGTTAATTACAAATGATTTAAAAAACAGAATGGGGTTTTGTGGAGATTTTAGTAATTTTATTCAGATAATGATCATATGCTTACTAGTGACTGGCTCCATGAGGTATTTCCTGAAGTCCTAGTGAGAAGCAGTAATCAGTGGAGTTCAACCAGGTCTTTTGAATGATATCAACTCACCGAAGTCATTGGTGAATGGTTGCTTAATTTCGTGGATTGGTTGAAGTTAGACACAAACACCGTTGAATGCCGGCTCAGTGGTCTATCGGTTAAGTGCTCTGGCGCTAGACTGATAAATTCTGGTTTCAGGTCATGCGAGGCGGGATCGTGGATGTGCACTTCTGAGGAGTCCCACAATAGGACGAAACGGCCGTTCATTGCTTCTAGGTTTTCCATGGTTGTCTAGCTTCAATTGACTCATGATTTCAACTGTGAAAATACTAAATTCTCCACAAAACTCCCTCTGAAATAAACATGTATATATATACGTGTGTATGTGTGTGTTTCATTTATTACACTTTGAACTAAAATTGCAAATTCATTGTACAAACAAAAGTAAAGTTGTTTATTACACATATTTGACAATGATTACAAAAGGAATATGTAATAGAAAACAAACTCACATTTTGTGTACATTGTCCATTTATAGAACGATCATAAAATATATATCCACTTGGATAATTAGCTGGACATAAACGAGAATGAATATTATTTGGTTGGCATATATGCCTTCTAGCAGTTGTATGTCTATCTAAATAAGGATGCATAGCCAAATAATATTGTTTAGGTAATGGATACCTGTAAAATAGATAATGTATATCATTTAGTTTAGTATATATGAAGGTAAGGTTCTTAATATAATGAAAAAAAAGTTAGATGTATTGCAGTTAATTATAATTAAAAAGATGAGATCAAGTTTGGTGCCTATTCACGTTTTGTCTGCACTGCATACCCTTAACTTTGAAAAAAGTGTTCTTTTTTGAATTATGAAAAATCAATTTATGTATGTCTAAATAAGAAACATAATCAATTCTTTTTTGTAACCGGACTGTTTTACAATTATGTAAATTTCCTCAGATTTGGAAACAATCGACAAGATAAACTCTAAATCATTTAATTAAAGAGCGTGGCCGATGTGAAATAATTCTTTGGATCGAGAACAAAGTAAAAATATTCTGTTTGTCCAATAATTTGACGTATCAGAAAAATTTAAGAAACGAAAGCTTTAATTCTATGGGAAACAATTATAAATATGAAATCAGAGATGTTCAAGATCATCCGTATGATAATGAATCGAGCTATTACAAAATCATTTGATTTGCAGTGAATAATTTACCATCATTTAAAAAAGAAAACAATCGTTCATCTAGACCACTGGATTTTCAGATTGTGATCTGAATGATAAAGAGCAAACTATGATACATTAATGTCCTAGGTTTGATAACTATCTAGGTTTTAAATTCACTTCGTATTGTTTGTTTGAATGTTCCCATCGATGTGTTAGGACTGCAACTGGTCAGTCTTTAATTGGTATATGTGCATACTGTGCGTATTGCCTCGATATAGCCTTGATTTACAAGCATGATAACATACAGATAAGTTTTGACTTATTTAGATTGTAGTTAGCAGTGGAATCCAATAGATGAGTATCGTCTTGTTTGGGTTTTTTTAAACTGAACATTGATATTTAGAACTCTATTTTGATCAGTCTACAACATAATTCAAACGCTATGCGAACAATTGTTTGACAAGTTGTTGGTATAAAGTGTTTTGATAAAGAGTGTGATGTACTTCATTCTTTTTAGATGACTGATTGTCTGTGACTCCATACTAAAATAATAAATTGTCACTAGTCAGCATTCTGAGATATAAAAATCGTCTATTCTATATAAAAGCAAATTAAACATGTATTCATAAAGAAAAGATGAGATATCATTTCAAGTCATAAGACAGTTTTCTACTCATTCTACTAAGTGTTATATAAATATCAATATGCGTTATCATTATTAAGTGCATCAAAGAACTTATTGAAATGATTTGGTTCAATTTTTTCAGCTTAGACCAATAGAGAAATAATTTACCATTCAAATAAACTTAAAAGATAAGTCAGGATAAATATACTTATAAACGAAATGGGAAACGATTTCAGGGCTAGTGTTACTAAAAGAAGATACAAATTCTCTTAGTCACAAATATTTGAAGGCATATTCAATTTATTTTGTGTGTGTCCTTTTTTTCTTGGTCATTAGTTTTATTTTGGTTAAGATTTGGTTTTGTATTACATTCGTCTTTCATTACCCGATCCTTAAACCACCCTTTCACAAACACATTTCCGTTCACTTGAGCTCTCCAAATTCTATTCCATTATTACGTAACCCATTGTATTTGTTTTTAATTCCATGAATCCTTTATTACCTCTAAAATTATCACACAATTTATTTTATGTGCCTCTGAACTCCACTCAACTATTACACCATCGACCCTTTATGTTTACATGATTCTAACACCTAATAACCTCTGACCTTTTCTTGCTTATATATATATAAAGTTATCATTGTCATTCCAATCGTTTACATTCACTTATGTCAATTTCATGAGTCAATTGAAGCTAGAACATCATGGAAAATCTGGAAGCACTGGACGGCCGTTTCATCCTATTGTGGGACCCTACAGCAAAGCGCACCCACGATCCCGCTCTGCAAGATTCGAACCCAGGACCTACCAGTCTCGCGCCAGAGCACTCAACCGATGTCAATTGTTCCACACTATTTATTATCTCAATGTTAAAATCCTAATATATATATGGTTATAAGCAGCTGACGAGAAACCATGACATATAATTAATTCATATTATTCTGCATCAATATTTGTTCTGATTTTATTTCAATTCATAAAGGGAAATAATTGCATGAAATATTCAGTTTGTGCTTGAATAGAAAACTAAGTAGAGTTACTATAACCAAGAATTTACTAATTCTTCAACTGGTGTAATTGCATGCTACAAAACAAACAATTATAAACACAAAATAATAATATGCTCACAATATATATAAATAAAATATAGCTGTTTCGCTGCTTGGTGTCAATAGCTTCTTCAGAGGATAGATTAATTATAATAACGATTGTATCATTATTACAAACAATCTACTGAATGCTTAATTTATTTGATATTAATAAGCCAGATCTTGGTAATGGTATTAAAGTAACCAGCGTTCAAAATCCAATTTCTATAACCTGGACTATTATTTTACTTTACCTGTCGTATTGAATGTTCTATCAAACAACGCACTTCGATGTTAACTATTTATTGTAATTTACGGAAGTTATAAGTATACCTATATATATATATATAAATATATATAACTCTGCCTGTAGCCTCTGCAGGGCTACTGGCGGTCCCAAGCGTGGATATAAAATGAGGGTTGAGAAAAGGGTTAGCGACCCCTTCCCGTAGAAAACTTACTTTCTAAGGCAACGCTAACCAGAAAAAAAATGTATATGTATACAACTTCTGTTTGAATGTATTCAAAACAAATTATTGTATCATTTATGTGAAGGGAGAATCATTCATGCTCAAACATTTCAACTATCATATTCTTTCATAGGAATAATATGTATTTGTAAAATCTCAACGAATGAATTTGAAGTAAATCCAACGTTTCGCCTGGCAATGTGGTCCAAACGTTTTCAAAGAATTAATTCCTTACATCAACTTGGCGCCCAAATACTATGAAATGATTCGCTCTAATTTAAACAAAAAAGTTCTTATATATCATATTCTTTATTTCATATCATTCAATGATTCGATTATCATAATAATAGTCTAAGGTCTATTTTATTTGAAAATAGAAAAATTTTTTTTTGTTTTTCAAGTCTGTATGAATTAATGAAGAAAAAAATTTAGTAAGAAAGGAAATACTCTATCACTATATCAACCCCTGGTTTCATTTGAAGAATTATGGAAATGACAGACAGTGATACAGACGGTGATACATTATCTGGCATTTAAGAAATTTAGTCATTTCTTAAGTGATTACATACTAATTATTTCTTTCGTTATAAAATAATTTTTATTTTAAATTCTCTACCTTAACATACTACTTAAAAAGAAAAGAAAATGAAATTGAATCAATTAGATTAAATCACAATGAAATAAAGCAAAGACAATTAGATAATCGTTAATGAAAATTTGAGATAAACTGTAAGAAAAAAAAACATACATAGGGGATATGTGACGAAACTCAGGAAAATAGAATTCATTTTATCATAAGTGGAATTGAACTAGTGTAGTTTTATTTTGGATAGATAATGAATGGATAATGACGATAAATACATGAATCTAAATGTTTCGAAAAGTGCTTTAGATTAATGAGTTGTCTAATTCAAATGGTTATAGAATTGGTTGTCTAGATAACTGTCCAGATGGATGTACTTTATATCAAAGAAACTAAAAATAATACTTGAATTCATGAGTCGATTTAAGCTAGCTAGACCACTACTGAAGAACTAGAAGTACTAGATAACCGTTTCATCCTAGTATGATATTTGTTATGAACTTTAAAAAGCCTTCGTCAATTTGTTATGACTATCTGTTTGACTTTTATCACGTGGATTATCCACCAATCGAAATACAACTTATCCAATCTTAACACTGTGCCAAATCAATGACATTCGACCAGTATGAGTAGTCCTTTGTCTGTCTAACCCTTTCAATCGACTTCAGAAAACCAATTAGAGCTTCTGCTATGCGATTCATTTGTTTCAAGCATATTTGGTTTATATAGCAGACAGACAGACCTCATCATTCAATAAAATAGAAAATAATATTTGTACAATATCAAGCTAAATGTGGCTGTGATCGTGGGAGACAGTAATCAATAAACTGAACATAATTTAGGAACAGTTGATCGTATAATAATAGTATATAAGTCCAAATGAAGCTAACGATAAGAGAAATATAGATATACATTATACACCCGTTTAACAAATTTAGTCAATTCTAAAAAAGTGAAAAAAGTTATTTGATTACATACTAATCAATTCGTTTTATAGTTAAGAATATGAGTCAATTGAAGCTAGACCACCGTGGAAAACCTGGAAGCACTGGACGGCCGTTTCGTCCTATTATGGGACTCCTCAGCAGTGCGCATCCACGAACCCGCTCTCGCGAGATTCGAACCCAGGACCTACCAGTTTTAAAATAATTTTTATTATGAATTCTGCATCTTAACATACTACTTAAAAGAAAAGAAAATGGTATTGAGTCAATTAGATTAAATTACAATGAGTTGTCTAATTCAAATGGTTATAGAATCGGTTGTCTAAATAGCTGTCAAGATGGATATACTTCATATCAAAGGAACTAAAAAAAAATACTCAACAGAATACTCAAAATTCGTTAAAGAGTTATTTTATTATATCATAAATAATTAACTACCTTAAACAACTAATAAGATTGAGATCTTCAGCTATATGAATTATACCACTAATCATTTGTCTAGTTTGTACTATCACACTCAATAACATTGTGAACAGGTTATTTGAATTGATTTCTAAACTACTAATAACTATTTTTGACCCAGAGTAACACCTTATTGGTGAAATAAAATTGTGATGGTTGTGATAATTCTCTCACTTAGTTCCAATGATTTTGATTCCTGATTATCGGTACAAACAGTCTTCTTCAGGTTATTCAGTGATAACAATGATTATTGGATTAATATTTTCTATAACTTTTCAGTAAGTATTTTTTTTCAAATTAATGTAATCAATTTTATCAGATACTGAATATCAGGGAATTTTCAACTGTAGTGTAAAAAGTGCCATAGGACTCCTTTATCAAATAAAGTCAATATCAACTTTTAAAACAGAAACCTAAATGCAAAACAAAATAACAACATCATGATGTTTAAATATCTGTAACGCATTTTGATTGGTCAAATGTTTGGCAACTTCAAACAATTCAATAAAATATGTATCCAATAGGGAAAACCGACTAGCTTAGAATTTCATTTACATCATGCTTACTAACGTCAACTAATGTGAAACTCGGATCTAGTATCTGCAAACATTGCCCGAGATATTGAGTCAGTTGAACTAGTGGCCACAATACAACCTTATTGATAGTATCTAACCAGTACCCGATGATTGTAAATATCGCAATCCCACAGTAATCCACTACTGACCAAATGATCTGTATTAAGATCTCAGACTTTAAAGCTGAGTGGTGCTAGTTTAAATAACACAGTAACTATCAATTATCTCAAAGACACAAAGTCCTCTTTCTAAATAAACTTAGATCTGACGCTCTTGAAGGTTACCTACTTTCAACCGTCTTACAAACTATATCAGATGCTTGTTTAATAGTTTTCAAATCGGTTTCCAATTATTATGGTATCATTTTATGATTCAAATGAAGATTTAAAAAAAAACTAAATATAATAACCGGAAATTAACATTTAATTATTTGAATACATTCTATTGTTTGTTTAATTAATCAATCAGTCGATGACTGAATAATACGCTAGGAACTGTCAGTAAAGACAATAACAACACAGATATCATTCGTGCTTTTATTCATTATTTTCTTTTTTAATAAATTAGAAATTGAACATTTTTAATTAAACTATAATTGTTCACCTTAAGGTCATTTCATTAAATATGAACTGGAAAAAACAAACATTAAATAACCAATCTCTATAAAGAAAGATTCCTTAAACATCTTGGTGGTAAAATTAAAGTAGGATGAATTTAATTTTAATTGAAATCTGTTTAAATACAGCTGTAAAATTCTTGTTCAATTATTTTGATTATAGCTGATTGTAATTCTTCTGTTTGGTTCGACCAATAAGTTTGTATTAAAAGGAATGTTATAAATGAATTAAATCAAGTCAATAGTCATAAAGACATGGAGATCTTCTTTTCCTTCTCCCTCCCAGTCTCATCTTGGTTACTATTACTGACTTACATACTTACTAACGCCTGTTACCCCTCGTGGAGGAGCATAGGCCGCCCACCAGCATTCTCCATCCAACTCTGTCCTGGGTAATCATTTCCAGTTCTTTCCAGTTAACATTCATCCTTTTCATATCTGCTTCTATTTCTCGACGTAATGTGTTTTCTTTGACCTTCCTCTTTTCCGCTTCACTTCCGGATCTGAAGTTAGAGGTGGCCCCGTGATGTGGTTTGGTGATTTCCTCAATGTATGTCCGGTCCACTTCCAACATCTTTTCCTAATTTTCTCTTCATCTTCATCCGGCCAGTGAATGTTGAGTGTTTTGCGTAGATAACTGTTTATAAATACTTGAACCTTCTTAAAGATGGATTTAGTAGTTCTCCACATTTCAGCTCCGTACAGTAGGACTGTCTTGACGTTCGCATTGACGATTCTCACTTTGAAGTTAGTTGACAGTTGTTTAGAGTTACGTGTGTTCTTCAATTGTAGAAATGTTGCCCTTGCTTTGCCAATCTATACATTTACATCTGCATCAGATCCCCCTTGTTCATCAATGATGCTTTAAAAATTAAAACTACACATTCATATGATGTACGAACACCTTTATTTATTTAGTAATTATATGTTTAGTTATTGCTTGTAATCTTCATATGATACCCTAGGTAATGATCTTAATTATAATTGAAATTTATAATGAGGAAGTGTGATTTCGAAGTTTCTATCGGTTAACAACTTGTTTACGATGAAATTATATAGTTTTATTTCCACTACACAGTTTGATTAATAACAATGTAATATTTTGCTTGTTCAACTTAAGCATTACCTAATAAAATAAAATAAAGGATGAATAACAACTGGGAAGGACTGGAATTGATTTCTCAGGACAGGGTTGGAAGGAGAATACTGATGTGCAGCCTATGCTCCTCCACGACGTGTAACAGGAGTAAGTAAGTTGGTAATAGAATAGAATATATATTATTATTCTCATTTTCAGATAATATCAAATACTGTTAACAACTAATGATTCCCGATTATAAATAAATATTTAAAAGAATCCTGAATACTAATTCTAATGATACAATTAGGTGAATTAACAAAGAAGAATGGGGATTAAAGACATAAACAAAATAATTGTTGACTACATGTTAATTAATTTCTTGAATATATTATGATTGTTGGACATTGTTATAAACTATTAGAAATTTTAAGTTTTTAAGACTTTCATGGTTACCTTAATATTTTTTTAAGATTTATTACTTGTAATGATTATGGTCCTCTTAACTGACTGATTTCCACATTTGGTAATAAACGAATTCGACATATTCTACGTAGAACTATAGATCATGTACTTATGTGACACTAATGACTTAATAGTTATATAACTCTGGTAAATCTCATTTATTATGAAATCATACATTAGATTTCTACTTTGAATCTCTTATTATCTATGGTGAATTTATGGTGTAAGATAGATAAACATAATGAAAGGAGACCTAAAACGGTAAGATCACTATGATAAATTTGACTAAGCAGTCTGTAAATACTATTGGTTAACAAGATCCTTATTATTTAGAAGTATATCACTTTCTGATTTATAAGCGTTTCAAATCAAACTATCCCGATTATTCTATAGCGAAATATAATACATGTATGTATACATATTTGTATATATACAGAGAAAGATAATTAAGTCATTGTGCAATGACAGTTTTGTTCTTACTAAGTTAATGAAATCAATAATAATAAAAGAAATCACCTACCGACATGCTGTCTTAATGATTGTCTCAAGTGGTTTACGCCAATGTTGCATATTGGATTTTCTTGAAGGATCCATAACAATTCCATTATCACTTGCTAAATGTTCGACATCTTCATATTCTGGCAGTAATCTGATATTTTTTACATTGATATGGACACTAATCCCAGAAGGATATGCCTATCAAAACAGAAAACGAGTGATTGATTTTATTTCTATTTGCTTTATTTCCGCACATTTACAAACACGCAAAATACAAGTCAGTATGAATGCAAGTAAAGGTAGCAAAGTATCCACTTTGCTATCCATGTCCTTAGTTATACGATATTGCGAAATACGATTGCTAAATTTATATACTCTGGCTTAAACGATCAACATAATGACGCATACCCCAGTACGAGCAGGCATTTTCCGTCTAGTCCTGCCTGCTAAGTCTAAAATGCCAATTACAGCCGCCGCGATATAAATAATCAATTTCAAACGTACCTGGTATAAGTACAAGCAAAATCAGACCATATCACACCATAAAATAGAAGGTAAAATTTGAACGAGTTCAAAAGTGACTGTGAGTATTAGAAACTGTAACTAATAGAATAAGAATAATTTGAAAATAGTAAATCATATAACAATAACAAATAGATCCATCAAGAGCTGATAATAAGAGGAATATAAACATATGAACATATAAACACATTACACAAGCAATTGGCTATCAAAACTCAATAGCTAAGTGAATAACGTGATGGCGTTTGAAGCGAAAAGTACTGAGTTCGAGTCCCGGAGTGAACATCAACTGTAAGATGCAGTTACATGCAGCTAATGAGTCCCAAATAGGACGAAACGCGCGTCAAACTGTATTCCACTGCTAGCCACTTTCCATCTTTGCTTATAATCCTTGTAAATTAAGGTAATCTCGAGGCAATACGCACAGTATGCATATATGCCAATAAGAGACTGACAAGTTGCAGTCAAAAACATCAATGAGAAGATTCAAACCAACAATACTAAGTGAATATATATATATATATATATATATATATATATAGTATTAATCCATAAAGAGATACCAACAATTATTATTGATTATTCACGTCGGGATATAACACATTAGATGAATAATGATCTGGAAATGAAAACCATCAAATAATTTATACATTATTAAAAGCGGAATAAATAACCATTTGAAAAAACAACAATACACATGATTAACAATGTTTTTTTGATGATGAAAATCATGACTTGACCAGAAACAAAAGTAAAGCCATTCACTTATGAAAAATTGCAGACAGTAATTCTTATAAATCATTAGTTTATAATTAAACAAATTTGAGTTAACCATCAACCAATATGTAATATTTTTTTCGGATGTTGACAATGAAATACCATTTAGTTAGCATCAAAGATAATAATTATAGAAGGGATTTTGTGGAGATTTAGTATTTATCATTGTTGAAAGCGTGAGTCATTTGAAACTAGACCACCATCGAAAACCTGGAAACACTGGACGGCCGTTTCGTCTTATTACGGGACTCCTCAGCAGTGCGCATCCACGAACCCGCTCTCGCGAGATTCGAACGCAGGACCAACCAGTGACGAGCCGAAGCCCTTAACCGATAGACAACTGAGCTGGCATCAAACGGTGTTCATGTCTAACTTCAACCGATCCACGAAGTTGAGCAACCATTCACCAATTGTCTTCGGTGAGTTCCTATCTCACAACAGACGTGGTTTTGAACTCCACTGGTCACTGCTTCTCACTAGAGCTCCTAGATATACTTCTCGAAGTCACTAGTGAGCATATAATTATATTCATTATAGAAGGGGTTTTGTGGAGATTTAGTGTTTATCATTGTTGACTTCGAGAAGTATATCTAGGAGCTCTAGTGAGAAGCAGTGACCAGTGGAGTTCAAAACCACGTCTGTTGTGAGATAGTAACTCACTGAAGACAATTGGTGATCGGTTGTTCAACTTCGTGGATCAGTTGAAGTTAGACATTAACACCGTTGGATGCCAGCTCAGTGATCTATCAAATAAGGGCTTCAGCTCGAGACTGGTAGGTCCTGGGTTCGAATCTCGCTTGCGAGAGCAGGTTCGTGGATGCGCACTGCTGAGGAGTCCCATAATAGGACTAAACGTCCGTCCAGTGTTTCCAGGTTTTCCATGGTGGTCTAGTTTCTAATGACTCACGCTTTCAACAATGATCAAAGATAATAGTTAATATTTCATAAGTTTATCTTTCTGGTTGAATAATTATTACCTTCTGTTTCCCCTTTGCATCCAACTTTTTTGTTATTATGATCATTTGTTATTGATATTTGATTTAATTAAAATTAGGTTTCTTTTCATAGAAAATATCAACAACATGAAATAAAACTAGAAATAATAATTTCAATATGGTGGTAGATTGGTACACATTAAAAACACGTTCATTACCAACCGATATTACCATTATTGTTATTATACTTTCCTATATTTTCTTTTGATCGTTAATCGTTAACTTTTCATTCATCCCTTTTTTTGTTTTTTTTGTTTTCTTTTATTTTCTTATTTTCTTACTCTCAAATTTAAAAAAAAAATAAAACACTATAAGAAAAAGAGAATGAGAGGGAATTCTGTGGTTTGATTTTGTGTTGTTGTTGTTAGTTAGTTAGTTAGGAAACTTTTATGTTTTGAATAGAAAGAAATGGATTATCCATTGCTTTCAGTCTATTATTCATGTTGATTTGTTGTCCTTGTTATAATAATCATAACAATAGTAGTCATAATAATAATAATAATAATAATAGTGATTTCATTCTATTTTTGATTCATTAAAAGTTCAATTTTTTCAACAATGGTAATGATTACTTAGGTTGACATCAAAGGATTACCTACCATGTAGGTATGTATGTATCTTAACATATGCTGAATGGGTTATGCATAATGCATTATTGAAATTCTATTATTAAAGAGTACTTCCTATATATTATTATGTATACAATAGTGAGACTTATGATTGAATTTATAAGAACTTAGAAGTTGGAACATGAGGTGATAATCAATATTGTTAAGCTCATAACCGTGTGTTTATATTCTAATCCATTTCAAAGATTAATTTTTGAGTAATTTAAGAAATCTTTCATTCAATTCAACAATAATAATCAGAAGGGGTTTTCGTAGAGATTTAGTATATGCATAGTTGAAAGCATTAGTCAATTGAAGCTAGACCACCAAAGATTACCCATCCAGTACTTCCAGGTTTTCCTTGACGGTCTAGGTTCAATTGACTAATGATTTTAATAATAATAGTTTGATTGATTGTGTGTTGAAAGAATATCTAAATAAATTTAATGATTACAGTTTATTTAATTACATAATTAATTAATGATTAAGGTATCTTTTGATAAGTGAAATTAGGTCACTGGAAGTTTGTTACCAACAGGATTCCTATTTATCACTATGAAAACGTTTAACAATACAGTCTATATGTGACTATCTACATTAAATTTATGATCTTGGTTTTCTAAAAACCGATTTCTACATCTTGCTCTGAATAAATATAGAAACCTGATTTAAAGTTTGTGTAATGTAATTAGACTGATCCCTTTGGATAACATCGCAGTATAAAGTCGAATAAGATATCCATTTAGGATGCATGTATTTCAAATGTGCATAGCAACATATTAAAAAATGGTAAAGAAATTCGATCTCATGAATATGGCATAGCTAATGGCTATCGGTTAAACCAATAAATGAGTGTATGATTCAGTTTATGTAATTTGGCATTTAGTACGGAAAATAAATATGCAGAAATACACATAAAAACACGGGATATCAAAATCATGCATTAGAATAGCTGAAATCAAACCAGTAGTATTAACAACGACATAAATATGTTTTATAAAATATTTTATAAAGTTACAGTAGTCCATTCGTCATATGCTCAGTCCGATTTTACATTTACTCAAAATATAATAGATTTATGTAGGGGTACTCTAAAATCAAGGACTTGATAAATTTGTTATCAAAGGCTCTAATTCCAAAAGTTCCAAGTCATACAGTATTACAATTGATGAATCGTCAAGCATTTAATTAATTAGGAATAATATATTTGTAAAATCTTAGCGAATGAATTTGAAGTATGTCCAATCAAAATACTGTCCTGTATACTAACAACGGGAAAACGCATTCAATGACATCTAACCAATATCAAAACTGTTGAACCAGTAAATAGCTTACTGAATTTATTAGCTTGATAGGTTGAAATTTTAATCGAAAGGTTCACAAATAGGGCATCACAGAACATCAAATATGTCTAGCTGACAAATCCCCGGATGGATGAAGCCTGTTTTCTGGACTTCATTCGACATCAAGATTATTCAAGAAGATAGACAGAGGTCACTATAACTGAAAACACGATTTGATCATAGATAAAGTAAAACAATAAATGAAATTATTTAGTTTCATAGAAGGATCTCAGAATGTAATGAATAAGAGGATTATAATTTAACGTAGACACTAAATATGAAAAACGATACATATATGGTATAACGTGAAAGAAGTTATTGCAGTTCAAATTGAAACTAAGTTCACGGAAAATAAGAAATTGGATTACCTGATAATGTATATACTTATTAAATTTACTTATAGGCTTGACCTATATAGTCTTATATGTACAGTAATACTAATCAATATAAAACACTTATAAGATAATAAACAACAAATGCCGTTGCTTTAGAAGATTGCTGACAAAAGTATTAAGTGATTCTTGCTTTCCCCTGTTACAAGTAAAACTTATTGATAACAGAAATATTACTATTAGTATGAGGTATGAGTTTATCCATTGTTGGTATCTGGACTAAGCATTAATGTTGATAACACATTGAGCCTTTGAAGCAAACGGTACTATGTTCAACTTCCACTATGAGTATATGCACTAAGATACAGTTTCACCTAGGATGAAATACTAAACCTGGATACCACCGTTGACAACATCCTATGTTTCTTTCTTTAATTTTTATAGTAGTCACTTAAATTTATTTTTCATTTGTCCTTATTTTAAATTCGAATATTCAAAAAATAATTTTCTCATTGGTTAATAAGAAAATTTAGACATAGATTCTATTCTTCTTAAGATTAATTATTCAAAACGATTTATTAAAATAATAATAGTAATAATAATTCGTAAATATCAACTGGA